TTTAGTCTAGAATTGTTCTTTACATTTGATTCACCTGTAAACATTTGTTTTAGTCATGTTCATAAAAATAACTGATTTCCAGAGTAAATTTTGTCTCTATCTTGCCATTAATTTTGTAAGAAGGAAGATAAATTGAGGCAAAAACAACAGTGTTTGTGGTCTATGGAAGAAGCAGAGCCAAACAAAGGCATCTTTGCCAAGATGTGCCTCTAGGACCTCTCTGTACTGTGGGAGAGGATTTCTTGCCAGTCTGTAAAAACCAGTGTATTAGCAGATGGTGACCTTTGGGAAGTAGTTGTATGTGCTGGGCACAGAAGGAGCAGATGGCTCAGGGCAAGCCTCAAACACAGCATACCGAAACAAATTCATAAATATTCAGGGTGTAGTAAAGGCTGTAGATCTATGAACGTTCCTCTCACGGAAAGTGTGGGTGTGAAGGGTCCCATGCTCTCATGCTACCTGCTAATTCCTTCCTTGCTGGACATGAGACATGATGATGCTGCAATCTGTGGGGCTATGCCGTGTATCAGGTGAGGAAGGAGACTGATTTCACAATGACCTGGTTTGTAGGGGAAAGTGAAGAAGGAACTAGCTTTAATGTTGCCACAGCTTTTGGGAAATTTATATGTGCTCTGTAGTGGCTGAGTATCTTTTTGAGGTGGACATGAAATTGATAGTGTTTCTGAGGTTAGCATTATTCACAGCTCTCCAGTGATGAGAAAAGCATGATGAACCACCATGTTTAATTCTTTCTCTGATATTTTTTTCTTTGGTGTTTTTGTACTCCTGTGTTGTTTGTTCAACTGATATGTGCTTTTGGTATTGTAAATGAGGCTGGACTACGGGTAGGTGCCAAAAACCCCAAGAGTGCAATCAATCTTTTATGCTCCATTTATATTTTCAGAGTATTTTTCCCAGGCAAAATGAATCTTGTTACCCTAATAGGTGGCTTTGCTGCCAAGTGTACCAGCAAAAAAACATGAGCAGCATTTTCTCCAGCCTAATATTTTATGTGGAGAGTAAGATGGACCCTTTGTCCTTCACAGTAAGATGGACCCTCTGGTCACGCTTCATGTCCCGCTTCATGCTGACCTCATGAGTAGATTTACACATTCCTCTCTTTGGGTGTCTCAAAGATCTCTTGCTAATGTCACAAATCTGAGGAATTTGATTTGTGGAAGATCTGTTGGATCACTTAGTCCTTTCACTGTGGGTCTGTGCAGAATTACTTCTCATGAAGTATTTTCACTTAAAACTTTTTCATTTATGGTGATTTATTACAGTTTAATTTCTAATGTTTATGCCACACATTGCCTCTCAGAAGATCAATTTTTCAGGGCAGACACCACTGAGGCTGCTCTGCATCTGTGAGACTGCATTTTGGAGCCAGTGAGAAGCATTATGAGCCACTGGCTGGGATTTTGGTGAGGAGTTACTAAAAATCACCTTTGTAGGAAATGACTGCATTTATGATTCAGTCATTTGGGATTACACATTTCCATTTAAAAACTAAATTTTGAGGGTTTCAGTTTGTGATGGGTTGACCTTGGCTGGCTGCCAGGTGCCCCCCAAGCCACTCTCTCACTCTTCCTCAGTAGGACAGAGGGAGAAAATACAAAAAAACCTCAAACCCCTTATTGTGTCAAGGTTTTTGGGAAAAATGCAGGGACTGCACTCCGAAACAAAGAAAAATAAAGATTTATTCTCTACTTGCCATCAGAAGGGAATGTCCAGCCAGTTCCTGGAAGTGGTAACACATAGTGGTTGCTTCCAAAGACTGCTTTAATCACTCATGTCCCCTCTCCCCTTTTCCTTTTGTTGTGTTGTTGATGTTTTAAGACATGGTATCCCTTTGGTCAGTTTGGGTCAGCTGTCCTGGTTGTGTTACCTCCCAACCCCTCATGAAGCCCCAGCCTACAGAGGTGATATTGGGGATGATGCTGTGTGATCATACATAATCAAAACACGGGTGTGTTACCAGCACTGTTCTGGGTACAAATACAAGGCACAGCACTATATTGGCTGCTATGAAGTTAACTCAATCCCAGACAGCCCTGCTGTACAGTTAAATAATTGATTGTAGTGATGTTTGCAGCTCCTATACAGAATATTCTTTTCAGTTCTAAATGACTGATGACATCTTTATTATTTAACATTTTCTAGAAACTGAGGTATTTTTCATTTTCCTCCTATTGAGGAATTTTAGTGGACCATGTTTCATGGGGCTTTGTTCTTCATGAAGCATTACGTTACTTTGTGATTTTTATAACTCAAACTTATATTTTGAAGTTGGGTAGCAAAATTCAATAATGCATATATTAACTCTGCTAATATTTTAAACAATTTACTTTTTAAATGGTTTCAAAGTAGTTGCTCTGGGAACTGTAGTTAACCTTATTCCTATGAAGTGATTTATTAGTAGACAGTGGGAGCCCTTTTTATCTGACTGAGGGATTAAAATAATATTAAGTTAAACTATTTAGTTCCCTCCCTCTCTTCTTCTGTTCCTTTGTAAGATGAATAAAGGTCATTTGAAGTTAATGGCTAGTACATTTGGAACTAATAACAGGAAATGCTCTTTCTAACAATAGGTAATCTCTCTTTTTGGCAGGGCTGAACCCATTTCTAAGATGTGTTCACTGGCTCATAATTCTGGTAAACTTCAGGGAGCAAGGCTGAACATTTCCATGTCTGCTGCCTACTTCAGGCCAAATTTGAAATTTTTGTGCAAAATATTCAGTGGTTTCCAAGGCTGAGACCATTCCCTTACTTGGAATTATTGACAGGTTGTTTGTTTGTTTTGAGTAGTTGGTTCAACTGAGTGGTTGAACAGCTCAGTTGTCTTAGCATTTAGGGCTAAGGAGTTGCAGCTTGCTGAGATGGAAGAGTCTTTTATGCTAGTCATGTGTCCTTGGCCATGGAGGTCTGTCCAATGTGGGTAAAGTTTTGTATGACTCCAAATATAGAAAGTTCAGAGATATTCCTAAGACATCTTTCCTGGCACCAGACAGTCCTGGAATAACATGTCCACCCAGTATGTTTAAGGAGGCCTGAGAGTCAGTGTGAAGATGGAAGGGAGGTAATTGGCAATGAATATTGGAATGCCTTGGGTACAGGGATTTAACAAGAAGCTGTGAAGGGATGGACCAGACTAGTTTAGAAAATCAAAATGAGACAAAGTGATACCTGGAAGATTGTGGTCAAATGGAAGGAAGGTTGCAGAGAGGTTGAACCTGGGGGAAATGAACAGAAAGGCATGGGCCAATCAGCCCATGGTTTGCTCAAAAGCCTGAGTGGAAGGGTCTGTTTCCTTTGTCTCAGCGTGGCATGGAAATATTATATTTGTGTGAAATCTACAGGCAGCTCTACATCTGAAACATATTAAAAATGGTAATTTGTTGATGTGGTCATTTGCTGCCATGTCTCAAGGATTTGTTTGATGGGCTTATATGTGAGCTATATTAAAGAAGAAGCAAAAGTCATTGGCATACTGATTGAGATTTAGGATGGGAAGGACAAACTATATTCTACAGCCTTGTCAAACTTAACTTTTGTGATTTAGAAGTATTTCTTGCTGTGCATCACCATCATAACATTAAGTGCTTGCTTGTGAAATAAGCCTAAGCCAACCCAGAATTTGCTGCATGTGCTGGGTGTTTTCTGGTTGTCAGCTGTGTAAAGGAGAATCCTGCTTTGTCTGTGCTTCTGCTCTCCCAGGTGTTGTTGCAAAATCTGGATATGTGTAGTGAGTGAAGCAGGGGGTATAGGAAGTAAAAGGAAGTTGTTATGGGTAAGGTAGCTGAATCCATCCGTGGAGACAGGGGTCCTGACTCTGTCATTGCTGCAGAGTTTTGTCTGTGGCTCAACAGTGGCTTAAGATTTTGCAGATTTCTTGTTTCTTTATGTTGAAATTGGGTACCCCAAGACTGATTTGCAGAAGCACTGAATGTCTCTAGAGGTAACCCAAGCCTATAATTTGGGCATATTCAACTGTTAGGAATTGGAGAGATTCCTAACACCCTGAGACCGCTGTATGTTTTTGGAAATTAAGGTTATTTTACGTCAGTTTGCAGGTTGTCCTAGTAGTGTGGATATTGCCATTGCCACTTTCCAAGGTGCAATATGAAGATTGATTAATGGCTGTGATGAAAGCTATATAAAAGCTTCTGAGGAAACTTAATATTCCTACCTTGATGGTAGGATTTGAGTAGTCTGGTCCAAAAAAAGGGCACAACCACTTACAGAACCATCTCTGCTGTGTACACAGTAAAGCAGGGGGCCTTGTCATAGGATAATATATGAATACCTGATTAAAGACAATATCCAAATGCATATGTGCAAGAGGGACAAATTAAGCTTGTACAGGCAGCCATTCCATAATTTATAAAGGTTTGACTTAATGACATTCCAAATACTTTTTTCATGCAGTATTTTTTTAATGTATAATTTATGTTTCAGCTGGGAAAGAGACTGGTAGAATAATCATGAATTGAGGATGAAATGTGAAGTTGTGTATTAGAAGACCTCCGGATTTAGTTATAGGTATTTTTCTTTATGTAAGAGTAAGTGCTAGAGTTTTGTGGTAACTGATTTGAGAATGAAATGACCACAGAGAATATTTCCACAGTTGCAGCATTCATAGAGGTGAGCCTGTGGCACCCCTGGAGGAGGCATTAACTTGGAGACTGGGAAATTTTGCCCAGTTGCTGTCTATCTCTGTTAGTGGATAAAGGCAGGCTTCTCCTTTAAAGGCTGAAAGCCTTTCACAAAGCTTTATTTACACTAAAAATAAATACTAAATTGCTAGGGGCACATTGTGGAAAATGAAAACAACCCTGTTCTTCTGTATTTTCTATTCTGTAGGTAAAATACAAAAGAGACTTTGAAGAAAGCAAAGGAAGAGGGTTCAGTATTGTGACCGATACGCCCGAGTTACAAAGACTGAAAAGGACTCAGGAACAAATCAGTAATGTATGTGACTGCAACCTAAAGTGATTGTAGATGGAGAAATAGTTTGTCTAAGAAAAGGTGTGTTTGTTGATGTTTTTGATGAAGTCTGTGTGAGTGAACAGTCTGATTTTGGTGATTGATTTGTGTATGCCAGATTTTGAAATGTGTGTAACTGTGTACCATGGACTTGTACAGCACATTGGCAGTGTGTGTTCACCTCTCCAACTTTCAGTAGTATGCTCAAAGTATTTTCTTTATTAAAATGATTTGACACTTTTTGCTCTTTTAATAGATTTGTCATCAAGTAAGAATGCTTTTGGAGTTTATAATTTACATTTTGTTTATATAAAGTATATAGATTATGTAAGCTAAAAAGTTTTGTCTCTTTTTTAGCAGGGGCTGTCAAAATTAGCAAAACAAGCAAGAGGGAATTTTCTAGAAGCAGATAAAATTTTGATGCTGCATTTTAAAAGAAAAGATGTACAAGACAATGCTCTGCAAGATGACAAAGAAATGGCAAATAGCAAAACCTAACATATTTCATTAGCTTACAGAAATGGGATTTTTAAAAATGTGATTTTTCCTGATTTATGTCTTCACTAAGAAAGTTATTTTTTTGTACTGCATTCTCTTGTAGCATGTTTAACTCACTGCATGATGGAATATTAGTGATACATAGTGCAAATTCTGACATGTGTGAAATAGGTAAGAACTAGTGTGAACTAGAAAATATGCAGAATCAATACTATTCAGTTGTCATGACTTCCTTTCTGATCATTCTTATGCTGCAAGAATTTGTCCCTATAGATTATTATGTGAAAATATTTTTGAGTCATTCTCTGTAGTAATAAAATAACAGCAAGGCATCAGAGACACCCAGTGTAAGTATGATCAGAAGAGAATAATGGGATTTATTTACTTGAAAGAAAAAAAACTTTTTTTCAGGTCAGGATATTTTTGAAGAAAAAAGTCATTGGAAAATACTTATTTTTCACAGCAGTGGAGGTTTATCATTCTTGCCAAAGTGTTCACTAGTTAAGATTTTGATGTCCAGAGCCAGTCTTTGAGATGAAAAATTTGGGCTCATTTCCTGGAGGCTTGGCCAATGGAGACGACAGTTAATTTAAGAGCTGTGCAACTGCTCCTGTGTGTAGACAAGATGAGAACAAAAGCTCATCTCATGTTCATGCTGGGGCTAACTGAAATTACTGGCTTGTAAGAGAGAAAAATGTATTCTTCAGAGTGGCGAAAAGCATGGCCATTAAGACTTCCATTTGGGATCTGGGAAACTTCAGCAACTCCCTGGTTTTAATCAGCTGCATTTTTTATTCAGACCAGGAAGTTAAATTAGGTCCTCTCACGACCTACATAACTTCCTCAAGCAAGAGTGATTCCTTTCTGTGGGGTGGCTCTGGAAGGCATCAAGGAGATGAAATGAGCGAGGCTCTGGTGAATACTTCATCCCTTGCACTTAGGGTCTGCTCTCTAAGGAGAGACTGAGAGGAGTGCCCTGCAGCAGGTCTGTGCTGCTCAGTTTGGCATATTGGCCTGCCAAGAAATTTATTCAGATCTCCCAAGCCCAGTACCCTCAAGATCAGACTACAGAATAGTAGGACACAGCTCACTTGTGTGCTCTTATCTCGCTCTTGTTCAAAGCACATTGCATTTTCTGTTGTGGGAAAAGGAGATAATAAAAACAAGTAGTTTTGTGACATGGGAAAGAGCTTTCTTCCCATCTCTACTTTTAAGTTGATCAAGGGAGTTTCTGTCCTAATGGAAGATCTTGTTCCATGATTTATGATACGATCTGGCTCCTGAACCAAAGATACTTACCTACCTTTTCAGATCCAGAAATAGCTTTTTAAAATGGGAAAAGTGGTTTTATTTCAGGATTTTCCCCTTGGTTATTGCCTGTATGACTACTTTCTCTTCATTTCTAAACATGCTATTCTTAACAATATAGATTTGATCTATCCAGTCGTGACAGTAGAGAGTTGTTTTCTTTGTGTATGTAGCTGACAGAGATTCCAAGTCGGGGACCCTATTAGAAATAATTAGTCTTGAAGGGTAAAATGGAATTTTGAAATGTGCATGATAAAAGAAGTTGCATTTAATTTCTGTTTACACTGAAATAATTAATTTATAGCATTGTATCCTAGAAAGATAATTCTGCATAGGCCACAACTTCAATTTAATTGGAAAGCTCCTGTATTATAGCAATGCCTTCCACACAGAGTAGTTTCTGTATTTGTCAGATAAGCAGTATACATCATGGACTAAGGATCTAATTAAGATTTCAAGACACTGAAAGGTAAGCACTTTAATAATTCTAAAATAATTTAAATTTTCATATACAGAAAAATGGAAGAATGCTAATATATCTATTTAATTTCCAGTTTAGTTTTGGTTTCACCTTGAAGTACTAGAATCTTCTCAAAGAGCCTATTTGAACCAAAATTGTAACTACTTCATTGAAGGGGTAAGTGAGAACAGTTAATTGTGTAGATATCCTTGATGAAAATAAAGAACAAAATAAATTTTATAATAATAAATGTTAAGTAGCATAAATATTTAAAAAATGTTATCTTTTTTGTCCTGATATGAAGTTTGGCAGCATATGGATATTAGCACAATACTCTGACTTTTGAAAGAATCTCTTGTGCTATGAATATAAACCTTATGAGGAAAAAAAAATCATGGGGGGAGTGGAAGGAGTGTGGTAGATAAAGGGGGTTGAATTGTCATTGTTATTTTGCCACCAGCAATCCTTCCTCTGAAGATTTAGACCAAACTTGTGGACTTCATTTTATGGTTCTTATGGAGGTATCAGAACCAGAGTGGTGCTTCTTAAACAAGAATGAAATTTAATCTTATGATGATTTTTTTAGCATTAAGAGCCAAATTCTTCATATATGCAACATATTTTGGCACTAAATATGTAGTCAGTACATAAAAAAATACATGTTGTTCTCACAGAGAAATGTGTACACTTTGTCAAAGGACCATGTAGTGTTTTTTGCCCTTTTTGAACTTTGAGAAGATTTTCAGAATGAATGCAAATACTCTCAAAATGAAAAAAGCCCCAGCCCCATGTATTTTTATAGGTGGTTTTGCAATTAAGCTAACTGCAAACTGGTTTTACAAGGAAGAAGTTAAGGTGGCAAAACGAATAGAATAAATAAAGATGATGGCAAAAAATGTTGGTCTATCATGACACAGGGCTCAGTGAGGGAGTAGAAACTCAATCTAGTACTATTTTCTTTGGGGAAATGGAACACTTTCAGCAGTCTGCACCAATGAGCTGCAGGTTACTGCCACTGCACTTTTATATCTCGATATATGGCTTGAAGCATGTTTTATCCTATGTGAAATAAGTTGCTCTTTCTTGAATATGTTTCTGGAAAATGTCTGCAAAGTATAAAAGAAAACAGGTGTCCATGCAAATTGATGGACTGAGAAGCTTTCATTAAGATAGAGGCCAGTGCTTGGATAGTAGAGGTTGCTGGCTTGGTTGTATGGCTGGAAGGATGCATGGAAGCTTTCACAGTATTTGTGCTCATTGCATTAATAGCCCACATAAGAACATTGCTCACTTTGGCATTAATGCTGTTATGAACTTGAATCACATAAGAGCAAGAAGCACCACACATTTGTGCCCTTCTCTTGGAGAGACAACAAAATGAAGTCATGCAGTTCATTTATTTGCATGTGACTCATTTTCCAGTAAGTTTTGCTTATATCTGAAGTGAAAACAGTACCTTAATGCAAAGAAGTAAAATAAGAAAACAGATTAAATCTGCTTTAAAAAACACATTTCCAAGGCATCCTGTTTTGGTGAAGAACTTAGGAAGGACAGTAGTTAATGAAGAGAAGGTCACAGAATCATCCCTCTGTGGGGTCAGGGAGTGGCTTCCCAAGTATCAGGAGCTGAGCTCCTCACTGAAGTTAGTGAAATCTTTATTGGATGCAAGAGTACATGAAGATCTTGTCGCATTCTTCAAAGTATTGTATGTGGGTTCTGATGAGAAAAGCTGTGTATTAATTTTCTTTGAATGTATTTAATTAAAAGCCCCACACCATGCACCATATTTCATTATCAAGGGTTGCATTCTGTTTCCAGTTAAATTTATACAGCTTCACGGGATGCAGAGGAGGACAGGAATTCCCCCATGATTTGAATCAACTGAACACCTGCTATCTGGACAAAGACACAAATGATAAGGAAATTGGGCACTACCTCAAATGTGATAAAAATACATCTTCGGTAGCAACTAAAGGAGGACACAAACCACATTGCTACTGTAGTTGTGCACATCTGCATATCTGAAATTAGAAACTGTCCCTAACAGACACTGAGCCATGGCTCCCTATTTGGAAGCTACTGGCAGAGTTGTTCAGTCTGTTTACTTGCTCAAACATAAAATGATCTCTTAAATTGCCAAAACAGATTGTAGAGAAAATTGGCAGGAGAAGATGTTAACAACATGGCCCAGAGCTCCACTTGTAGGATTCACAGCACAAAGCCTGCAGATACTAGTCTCTAAGTGCTTTTTTCCCTCCATTGAATTCAAGTGAAGGAGAGGAATAGGAAACAAGAAAAATTAACAGCAATATCAACGTGTGCATTTTACAAAACCAGCCCTGGCACATCAGCAGAGACACTGGGTAAGCATTTTAAATCATATACAAAAAGAGCTTATGCTGTTCTAGGCAGTGCTGGGATTTTACTGCTTCTGAAGTAATTAATACTTTATTCCTAAGCCCTTATATTCCTAAGCATGATTTTTATCTTGCTGTTGTTTCATTGGGAAAATAAGCATTTATTTTTGTATGACAGTTGTGTCGACTAACATGGATGGAACAGCACTTGTTGGGCAGTGCCCTAGTGCTGCATGTCTGTGGCAGGTGTGGTCAGCCAGATGCACCCTGCTGCTGACTGCCTTCTGCAACCCTTGGTACCTCTGACAGTTTAACATGAACTGCAACTTCAAGAGGTATTAATTATTTGGTATGTTGTAGACTTAATTCCACACAGCTACACTTCAAATATCTGCATATAACTCATATTATTAAGCATCTATTGTTTGAGTTGAACAACATTTTTTCTTTATGGAAACAAGAAGGTTGAATGTGTCATTCCTATTGCTAACATGAGTGTATCTCTGGAAGAAGGTGGAGCTCCTGCTGTGCTCCTGTGCAGTGAACATACATGCACAGAGTCACATCCAGCCTTGTTCTTTCTGTGGATTGATCTTCTAAGCTCATTTTGTGCAGATTCATAGAAATGGAAATTCTGAGAAGCCTCAGGTCCTTTTACTTTCTAATAGTTCTGTGTTGAAGTTTGACTTCTGATTTTCAGAAATCATTCTGCCTTAAAGTGTAAAGTCCTCATAAATGCTTTAGAAATTACTTAGCAAAATAATTACATTAATTTTCACTGACCATGAGTATTTTTTGCGGATTTTTACATAGGTCTTATGCTTTGTAAGATTTCATAAATTTTAAAAATGACTAAACACATTCTTAAGAAATGATGACTCTAAGGAAATGTAAATAATATTTTAGATAGAACTTGTGCTAAATGAGAAAATAGAAAACTTTGGAAATTGTTTTGAAATCTCAAGGTTTATTCTACTTAAAAATGAAAAATCAATCTTTACTGATTGTTATCAAAATATGCAAAATTAGAGACAGTGTTAAATTAGTTCCTATGCATATGAATTCTTTACCTACACTTTCAGGAAAAATTCTGAAGATATATAGTGGCATGCTGCTTTGTTGGGCTTCATTACTTCTTTTTGCTGTGATCCTGTGTAGGACAATACTCACCAAGTATTCAGCTTGCTAATATTTTTTCCTTTAGTGTTTATTTACTGTATGTTTTGATACTCCATATACCATAAAATGTTATAAAATCAACCTGTAATTTCTTTGTGGAGTTTTCATGAAAGCTTCTTTCTCACTTCTTTAACTGTATTCATATACATTGTTTTCAGAATTGTCCAAGAAATAAGGAGGTATTGGAGTTCTCCATTATGGAGGATATGGATATGTGGTCCTTATTTAAAAGAAGAACTAAAGCACAGATATTATCTGTGCTAATACAGTAAGCAGCACCTAGAGTAAGCCATTATCTTCTGTGTAAGCTCCTATTAGAAGTAGAGGGAAGCACAGCCTTTGCTAGGGAATTTTTCAGTTGTTTGTCAGGGAGCAAAAGATTGCTGAGAATCCAGAGCTGTGTGTTCGTGATTCATCGACTTCTCTTTCTGTTCTCATAACTTTTTCACATTCTTTTTCTGGTCTCTCTTTCTTATTGTTATGTAAATCACAAGTATTATCTCCCAGCATGTGGGAAGAAACAGTATTTTTAGACTCCAGAATGCCAACTTGAAGGATACTTCTTGGTATGTCAGATAGTCATTACAGTAATTCTGTATGAAAGTGTCAGTACAGGTGGAACTGAATAATTTAGATGACTTAAACTGTGCTTAAATTTCTGCTGAGCAGGCAGATGTTCAGTTTTCAGCAATGTATGATTCAGTTATAGACCATATTCTGTGGGGGTAGTAATACAGGTATCCCTAATGAGACATTCCTCACCTGCTAAAGGTCAACTTCCTGATCCAGAGCAGGAGAAGCATTAGAGTCTATCATTGATGTTGTTATAAAGCTGCTGCTTCTGTAACACAGGTGGAAAGGTGCATAACTCTTCTCTAAAAACAGCAGAAGTATTTTGTCTTTGAGAAACTGGAAAACAAACCCCTGCCCGAGGCATAACTGCATTTGGAAAAATTGTTAGCATTAGCAATAAGGATTTATAATGCTGTTAGTGTGCTGTTTATTGTATGTCATACTGCCCACAAGAGTGTTAGGTGTGTAAATTCAGATAGGCCTTTGGGTAAGTCCACTGAAACACTATCTGCAAATCTGCATTGAGGTTCTGGTAAGCTACTAATGTGTGAAAGAAACACATTAGCAAATTGTGTAAAATGGAAGTTCCTTCCTGTTGCACACAAGTCTATTTGGACTTGAATGGTATGTGACTTTGGGACAATTTTTGCCTGGGGAAAGTTCCCTTTCAGCGGCCCCACTGTGAGGATGGTAGGCAACCTCAAACGAAGCTTCTCAAATGTGAATCCTCAGAAATGCAGGGGGAAATATTTTAGGTTAAATGAATCTCTGATAGTCAAAGCAAGCAGATGTGACGCCTACATATCTGTTTCTTAATGATTTTATTCCATCTGGCTTTTTCCTATAGGGTTGATTAGAAAAAATATTTTTTCTCTTTTTTTCTTAGGCAAGTATAACGTGATACTTATTGTTGTGGTTTCTTATATTTTTCTAGGGTTTCAGAAGTCTATTTTATAAGTTTATGGGAGAAATGATTTTAACTCTTGCCTTTTTTTTTGTATTAGTACTTTCATATGAAATCAGTTGATAGCAGAAGTATGTAGCCCCAAAGTTTCAAAAAGTTTTCCATGAAGTTCCACGGGGAGTAGTATACTCTTTCTGATTCTAATTTAAATAAATAAATTTGACAGGATGACTGTAACCTTGCTCACTGTATTGACAAAATAAAATGAGTTGTGTGGTGGAAATAAAGCAAGCCATCCAGAAAAATCCCCAAAGGCATGGATTTGCTGCATATGTAAGTGGGTCAACTCATGCATGAGAAATGAATGCTAAATGTAAATTGGTTGCGAAAGTGTAGACTTTAAGTAGAATTGAATCAAGTGATGATCTAAATATTTTGATAGGAATCATGCTTCTCTTTTGAAAACAACAAGAAAGAGAAACATTACAGAGAAATAGTTAAATCATGTATTTGTATAAACTAGAACAGTGTCATTGCACTCCAGAATCAAAGGCATTGCATTCATTTATGTTGCTGGCGTTGGTAAATTTTAAGTTGAACCTGTATTTGGTTAAACCTGTATTTTCTTTGATGGGTTGCTTTACGTGTACACTTCAATTCAATATACTGCTCTATTCTTTAATGAGCAAAATGTTCAATCCAGCCTAGAAAAATACTTCTTGGGCTTTTCCTGGGTAAAAATAATAATAAAATAGAATAATCTAGTTAGGGAATACAAATAAAAAAGATGGAAATTTCTGTCTTGCTGGTTTAATTTTCTATTTGTGATAACATTCATATTGCAAGGCAAGGCTTATATGAAGGGCATCAGTAGTTTAGAAAACTACTACATAATATTCAAGTATGTAACATAACATTTCATGGACTTCATTTTTACTCCATACTGATTGCCAGCTTGTTGAGAGATGAATGTGTTACAGATACGTATTGACCTAAAGGTTTACATGTGTACCTTTATAATTCTAAAAATCCTGATTGAAGGTTAAAACAACTGTGTAAATGTGAGGAATAAATTGTCAGCTATGCCGTTTTCACATTTTGCTGTGGTATTGACTGTATTGCATGTGCCTCTTCGGGCAGTATTTTATGGAATAAAAAATTCCAAGCTGTAATGAAGACAACAATGAAGTGTTTTGTGGTGTCATGAGCACCTGTCCATTGTCTGACCAAAGGATGTGAGTCTGTCTTTAAACACTAGTGACTTCAAGACTGAATCTACTTGGAAGGTTTTTTATGTTTAAATATGTGGCTATTTTTTTTTCTGTTGTGATACTAAACTCTGTGATACTCTGTGATACTAAACTCTCTTTTCTGTTGTGATGACAAAACTCCGACTTATTTTTCCAGTATCCTTGAATATATTTAAGTGGTATCTAAATCACTAATTATTTTTAATGAGCACGTACTTTTGAAGTCAGTCTTTTTTACATATAGAAAAAAAGATAATGAAAATAAAACCTCTTCATGGCAGCTCAACTTGGGAGCTAATTAAAATGAGGCTTTTAAAATGGGAAAAAATTAATTAGCCAAAAAGTTGAGAAGTAGGAATTAGCACCTCCAGAGATCTCTGGGTAGTTAAATGCTTGCAAGAGATAATTTCTTATTTCCTTTTCTTACCTAATACTTTTGTTGCTAGGGCACCATCTTAGGCATTAAACCTCCTGCTGAAGAACAAGATACTCTGCTTCTTCTAATACCATCTTTAATCTTGAACTCTGGAGATTTTAATGTCTCACCCCTATGATGCTCACAGGCTTCATTGACCTTGACAACAAGAGTATCTGGTCCTCTGTGGACCAGATTTTTTTGTTTTGTTGTTCTTGTTGTTTTGTTTTTTGCATATTAAGACAAATTTCTGTGATTTTGTGATTTCCTTAGACTCTCAGTGCATATATCAGTTGTGACAAAGTCGGCAATGTAATAAGTGTAACCAACGATTGAACTTTTTAACCATCCAACCATCCTAACATAAGAAAAGTTTACTTCTCCAAGCAGTAAATTAGAGTGACACAAGATTGCTTTCTAACCCTTTCTGCTCTTGTAATTATTTAAATAATGATTCAGTTACAGAGATATTTGTGTACTTTTTTTGGAAGGCTCTTTGTCTCACATCAACACACTCTCACTGTTAGAAACCACATTATTTTAATGGAAAACTGAAGGATGTTTCTTCCCTGCCACCCCCTCCCCAGATCTGCCTTGAGTTTCTTTCTCTCCTGTCTTTCCTCAGTTGATGAGTAGTGACCTGCTTCAGTCCCCTCAAAGGACAGTGTATAAAGGAGGAGATGCTGAATGTGTCACTAAGTAAGCCAGCCACAAGCAGAAAATAGAGGGGGTCTGAACATCAGTCTTTAGTGGACTTTGGGAAAATGTAGTCTGAAAAAAATAAAATTTCAGAGGTGGCTTTTTTGAACTTCACCTCTTTTCTGAACTTCTCCCTCCTGGGTCTTGCCTTCCTTTTTTCTTTACTGGGGAACAGTGATGTAAAGTGAACCCACACCTAGTTTGGCCAGTCTAGCCCTTTTCTAGCCTTACCAGGAGAAATATACTTCAGAATGTGTGGCTTCTGTTGCCAAGATTAACTGATGTTTACAGGGTTTGCCTCAACAGGAGAGCTGTTCCCAGCTTCTACAATAGTGAGTGGCTAAGCAGCTGAGGAGGACAGTGTGGCTGCTGTGGGTTTTGGCACAGCAGAGATGGTCTTTGAGGGAGGACTGGAGGATTGTCTTATGAGGAACCTGTGGCAAGACCCAGAGTCTGTACTAGGGCAAAGTCTGGGTGTGGGTGTCTCCAGGCTGTGCCTCAGTGTGCCAATGCTGAGCAGGGGTCCTACTCCTTTCTCTGATCATTAAATGGGACAAAGGCCATTGATCTTAAGTGAGATTGGCTACCATTTTGCTGCAGAGATGGAGCCACTCAGTTCTGCTGTTTCCTCAGGTACCACTGAAGGAAAATTAAGGATTCAAAGGATCTCTGGAGGCACCTCAATCTCATCTCTCATGGTTTCTTGCCTGCTCATCAGAGATAGTTGCTCTGGTGTGGGCTGGGCTGCCCTTGGCTACAGTGTTGTGGGAACAAGAGGAAGGGCCAAAGGTTTTATTTGCCTGTGCCAGCAAGCTGTAGACCTGACCAGGGCAAGGGCAGCAGGCATGGAATGAGGTCACTTGTTTGGTATTGCCTTTTGTTTAGTGTTCCTTTCTGCACACTGCGTGTGTCTGGCTAAGATGATAGCAGACATGGTATCTTGAATTGAGTTAGCAATCAGTGTCCTTTTCAACAGAAATGAAGTGGGTGAAAGGCTCAAAAAAGCTTGGTGGTGATGGAAAATTAAGCAGAATTATCAATGAAGGTGATGCAAATGTTACAGAAAACTGACTTTATTGTGGGATTGGAAATTATATGATCAGCCTATATTGAAAATTACTGGAAAAAATATTCAGAAGACACAAATGAGGGTTGAGCTTTTGGTATGAAAAAAACCCCTGTTAAGTGAAAATGTCTATAAAGTTACAAGTAGAATATAACTGCAGAAATGAACGTGATTATGCACAGTTTCTTATAAGGCAAGCAGGAAATGTAGCACTCAGGCACCATACTTAAAAGAAAAGCAAGTATGTGGCGTATAAAAAAAGCCTGAAACTCATTAATATAGGAGCCAGGGGAGACTAGAAGTATAAAATACATTAAAAGAAAGATCAGACAAGCTTGGGAAAGTTAAATTAATCAGGAAATATTAACTGTTGTTATCCAAATGCAGTGACGGTTGGTAAGGCTCTGGTGTGCTGATAGCAGGAACTGAAATGATCTTAGTAAGGGGAGACTGTTGCACAAGTACTTGCCTTGGCATGCATTACTGAGCAGTGACAGAGCTGTGCTGGTGTCATCAGTGAAACCAATGAGTCCATCAGTGAGCTTAGGACCTTGTGCTATTTCTACTCACAGCTGTGGCTCTGTTCTTCCAAGTTGTGACCAGCCCATTGTGTCCTTGGTTAGCCGTAACTGACTTGAATGTGCAAAGTTAAAAAGGATTAATAATTATGCATCTGACCCTAGACCCGTTTGATATTGGTGGGCTTCATCCATGACATCTGATTGTCTTCACAGGCTTTCTGTTACAAACCAGAGAACATTTCTGAGCCTTGAATGGTGAATTTTTGAAGAGGTGGCTGAGATGCAAAGGTAACTATGGTGTTATGTGTATTCCTTACATACATGCAAGTGGTTTTGCATGGCATGGCAGTTGACAAACAAGATATTAATAATGAGTAAGATGGCTTTGACCCCACTAGCATTTTTTACTGTTTTTCAAGTGAAACTCCTTATCATGCTACCACACTTGCCCTGGCAATGCAGGACCCTTTTGAAGCATACAGAGTAGATTCATAAACTGAATGATGTGCTCCAACCACCAAAGTGTATCCAGTCCATTGGACCAGAGTGGAGCTAGGCTGTAGCTGCTTCACACTTTTATAAAATATTTTATGTCCTTAGAACCATTTCATCCTAGAGATCTGCTCTTGTTATGCTGCAGAACTTTCTAATGGAAACATTACTTATGTTATCAGGCTTAGAAATGAGACATCACTTCGAAGTTGTGTTCCCTTGAGACCCGAGTGTGATGCTAACTGCATCACAAGCTTTGAAATTCAGAAAGAGGAAGGCTGGAAATAGTGGGCACTGAAAATCAGATTGTTGCATGACCTCTGTTTGCCCTGTCAAGGGGTCACTGAGACTTGTCTGGTGCATGCACTAAACTTGTAATTTATGTTTGTGGAGGATGTCAAGAGGAAGATTCATGCCTGGATGTGCAGGTGCTCCATTAGAACTCAGAAAGACATGGATTGATTAGGTGGTTATTACCATCTGCAAAATTAGCCTGGTCAGAGACCCCTGACAGGGAAGCTTGGTGCATAAGCAGTGATCCAGCCTGCAGTTGATAAAGCCTCAGAATGTTGGCAGTAGATAACTGAAATATCTGTGAGAGCTATCACATCTGGTATGCTGGCTCTGAAGTTTTGGGGGTGCCACACTGTGTCTGATGTTGGAACTGAATTTTGCCATGTTTTTTGTGTCTGGGTCTGCAGAAAATAAGCACACTGTGTGTGTGTGTGAGATACAGGAGGGGAGGTAGGATAGAAATTTAGCTGGTTTCTGTTGCTTTTGGGGCAGTGTATAAATATATGCCAGATGTATAAATGAGACTTGGGAATTGAGTATATCCCACAGGTATAAATGAGACTTAGGAGTTATCTGGTTGGCCTGTGTCTGTCAGAAAAGATATTCCTATGGTTCAGAATAGCATGAGGAACTTGGGGAATCCTAGGAAATCTGCTCCATGTGAGCAATTTGTTTATATTTTGCCACATGACCTTTTCTGACATAACTCTAAATAAAATGTGAGGGTTGAGAGGTGAGGCACACAGTCCTTCTCTGTTAAACTAATAAAGCTGGCTGTTGGAGTGTGTCCTGTGGATCTGGCTTTTGTTCACCTGTGTATCCTGCTCAGTGTTTGGTTTCTATTCTCAGATAAATGGAGCCATTTTCTCAAGCTGTTTCTTACTGGTTTTCAAGAACTGGCTGGACAGAGGAGAGGGGTTTCAGGAAGTATTTCCTTCTGTATGAGCACTTTTACTCACTGCACTTAAGAACATTGCATTGTAAGGGCCACTGAGGCCGGTCCTTAGCTGTCATCTCTGTATTTGCTCTCAGAAATCTTGTCATGCACGTTGTGAACCTGATCTTGAAAGCCTTCAGATTTTTTTTTCCCCCTAAGTGTCTATCTAGGTGTTATCTGAGGTATTTCTTGTTTGTCAGGCAAGTTCTTTTAGATGTGATTGAATGTATGGCTCTGCCATCACTGATTTGTATGAAGACAGGACAATACATCTTACTACAAATGGATTTGGGAAGTCTGCACTTCATTCCTGATCTTTCTGATGGCATTCTTTGTTGCCTATGTTGCTACTTCAGTTCTGTTTCCTTTCCTAGAAAATGTGAATAATTGTGCTGAGGGCCTTTAGAAAACTCTTTGAAGTTATAAAGAAAATGGTAGAATAGCTGAATGGTATGGCTGCTGGTTGTTGTTATTTGTGTGTATAGATTTTCTAGGTTGTAACTTGGGAACACAGGAAACAGTACAAGAAGGAGTGTCTTGAGTCATCAGCTCTAGTCTTCTCTTTAGGAAAGGCATATCATAGAGAGTTCTCAAAACCCATGTCAAACTCTGTATTAATCTAATTACAGATTTAGCCTACTATTTTTGAAGACAGTTTCTTAATTTCACCTGCTGCAGGTAAGAAGCCTCATCCAATTTCCACAAAATAGTTCTTTATGGCAGGGCAACCATTGTCTTATTGTTTGCATGGCACTTCTGCCTCTGTTATGTGTTGAGAGAGGTGTCATTCTCAGACTTTTGCTATGTGAAGCTGAACAAGTGAATAGTTTTCATGTGCCCTTGCCAAAGTCTCACTATTCCACAAAGTCTTGACTCTGCCTGTTCTGATGGGAACTCACTTTTTTTGAGTACAGACGCTGAGAGTGTTTTTCACGCTACTGTGAGATTTAAAATATATCTTTCCTGATTAATTTCAGGATTATATTTGGGTTTCTTCATGGCTATTTTGGTGGCCTGAAATTACTGTGTGATTAATTTGGATATGCAAGTACATCTCTTTCCAACTATCAAACCTGTAACTTGTGGTAGAAATTCTCTGAAGAGCATATTTTTGCATTAAGTAATATTTAATTCCCTCTGATTGCTTCAGACCTCGAACCTGATTAGTTTTACATGGAGAATCTTTTTTACAGCCATACCTCATTAATAAAATTACTTAATAAAATTAATCATGGTCAGACCCTTAAGGTATATTCTCTTGGTATCTCTCAGCACCATTCTGTTAACACAACTTCTTAAATTATTTATGCAATGAGCTGATCTACCTGTCTGAATTTTCAATTCTTGTATTAGTCAACATATTTTCTAACTTAATACATAAACCTTGTTTTTTTGTGCTACTTCTCTGTGGCTGCCCAATTTGGTAGATTATTAACAGTCCTTATAATGATATTTATGATTTCAGAGTGCATAGTTATTCTTAGGTTCTTTCAGTTTGGACTCATAGAAATCTACATAATAACAGATACGCTGGAAATTTTAGTGAACATAGAAAATAACAATGGAAAACTTTTATGACAAGGATTTACAGTATGTTGTTTGATAAAAGAGTATTAAAATTTTTTTTGAGATAAAAGGATCTTATTGTGACATATCATATATATGGCAATACGCTTGAGATATTCCTTGCCTGCTGGTTTCATACAGCTTTTTATAAAGTTCAGGTAATTGTATTTCCTTTATTGATGTGAGTATGTGAAACAGTGTAAAATTTAAAGACCTTGTTAAAAGTCGTCTTCTTATTCACTATCGATGTGGACATAGCTCTTGAGTTTGCAGTAAGAGTATCCTGGATACTTTTTATTTGCAAGATGCTGAAATTTTGCAAATGTTTTTGCTGCACTGTGGAGCCCTTCAGAGTTATTTGTAACAAAAGTGAGGAGAACCCTGTTTCTGTGCTCAGCGTGTGTGATAGATGATTGTGTGAGGCACTTGTTTCACATGTAGGTTGCTGTCTCTCTGTGTTGCCTATGTATCTCTGCCATTGGAAAAGTCTCACTTTGCATACCTATTTTTCATAAGTTGAAAGAAATAGAAAGAAGAGAGAGGTAAAGAGAGAGAAATCAGAATAATTAATACAAAATTTCATAGAACCAAAGCAGAATTCAGACCTGAGTCCCTATTTGAAAAACTTGAACATGAGTCATGCATCTGTGTGCATAATGTGTTATGCCAGTTTTATACAGAATTTTGGAAATCACATGGAAGTTCATAATTTTAGAGGAAAGTGATGTGCTAATCACCTTTAGTCCTAGTGGATACACAGTTAAATGGGTGTGCATTCAGAAAGAGAGTGGATAGGTGGAAGACACTTGAATTTGAAATATCAACTGTAAATGCTGCATTTGTACATGAAAATCAAAGAAAGTCCAGGTTTAATGTGTGAAGGACCATAGCTCAACATCTTGTGTATCTTTTACTGCTGAGATCAAGTATTTGGCTATTTTACAGACTGGAGTCTTCTCCCTCCTTCCCTTTGTCTGTCTCAAACTTCACCAAGAAAACTGAAGCTCTCATTCTCCTGATGCCCAGCATAAGAAAAGAAATCTAGACAGTCACAACTAGTTTGACCTCACTGCAAAGTTCCCTTTTGCCAACTCAACTCTATCCAAATCATGAATGGGTTGTAGAATGATTTCTTCTCTGGAGGCAAGAGGTGTAACTTCCAGGAGAGATCTGAGTTAGTCATCTCTTGGCCAATTTTGCCAGTGAAGTGTTCTGATGTGCCTCTTACTGTCCTGCCTTCCTTTTTAACCTGGGACTGTCCTCTGCCAGCTCAGTGATTGGTGGCATTCTCCTGAGACTCTCTGGTAACATCTTGTGGGGATGGAGTGTGTTTCTTGGGATGGCATTAATCTCATATTAGCTTGTTATTTTGGTTACAAAAGTGCTAGGAAATGTAGAGGCACATGTACATTCTCATATTGGTGTACTGGAACAATGAATCCGTGTACTTGTTCCAAAGACATTTAGTTATCAGGGTGCAGGAAGCCAAACGCCTTGGTACATCTGGGAGGCCAGCTCCAAATGCCTTGCCAGTGGATTGTTAAATAAAGGGAAATCCTTTAACTTCTGTGTAAGCCTGAAAGTGAGGGGATGTCCTGCTACTCTTTTTGGTTTTATTTTGTCTCATGTTCTTCACTGCAACACTGGATCTACATTGCTTCCTCTTCTGTGTTCATTTTACCAACCATTTTAGGGCCATATTAGGATTCTGCTTCAGCAGACTAGTAGCAGTCTAAGCCTGTGTGCATGTGCTTGGTGCTCTAGGTAGGAACTGTGACAATTTCCCTAAAAAACTCTAGAATATTTTTAATGTTTTTAGATTTTTCAGGAGCATTTTTGCACTGATACATAAGAACTGTTGCATTTATAGAGCAGTATCAAACCAGATGATAGAACACATGGCTTATTTATTCAAATGCAGTCATGCAACCCTCACTTGTCTAGAAGCAGACATATTCTTAATTGCCAAACAAAGTTTGTTTGTGTTAGAATTATTGCT